CTATGACAAAGTATATTAAAAAGAAGTGAGGAAAAAAAGAAAAGAAATTATACAGATAATATAGAATAATATAGAAGATAAAGTAAGTTATCAAAATAATAAAATAATGTGGAGAACCGAGAATATAATAGACGATAATGCAGTACGAGATCATTAAAACAACAAATAGAGAAAAAGAATAAGATTAGAAAAAATAGGAAGAGTATGAGTAAGAAAGAAGCGAGAAATTAAGTTGAAAAAAAATGCTAGTCGACGCAGTCGTGAAATTTGTCAATTATTTGAATCTTTTCACGCTATTAAGTTATTACAAATGAAATGGAAGTATTAAATTATTTGGGTCTTCGATTAATTTGCCAGCAGGAACTGATTGCGTTTTCTGTATTAATTGAAACGTGTAATTTATGTGCTACGACTTTCATCAATATTCAGACGCTCGTTAAAGGAGAATAACGACTTGATTTTTATTTTGAGAAGTTAGAAAGTTTAGTTTATCGGACGACGAGCAAAAGAATTTTGCTCGTAAAAGATTACTGCTTACCAGTTTCATCTAATGAAATTCGAAAACAAAGCTAAAAGCATCGGGAACAATTTTCAAAATTGTACTCCTTTTTCGAGGAGAATTTATGCATTCAGGATATTCGTGTTTCATTTACGACAAAAGGAAATCTTCAATCATTTGAAACAAATTTGTTTCTTTAATCCCTCGTGTCAGGCACGTCGCGATGATTTAGGACATGACGTACCAATGTAAGTAACATAGATGTTACTTATTCAAATAAAACTTAATTAAAACTTATTAAAATAATAATTGTAAGTTATCTGATACCCTTAGAAATTGATTAATGGCAAACAAGTGCTAGTTAACGAAAGAAATAAAATCTAGATGTTACAAATTAGACCATGAAAACGGGAAACTGCATAAAGATCCGCAATCTAGCGATCGCGAAATCTGATCCACGATAAACTTCGATAAAAATCGATTACTGATTATGATTTTGTTTACTGGATGCAGTGTCGGGCATCGTTCGAATAAAATCGTATTTGAATAATAGTAACGAATAAGTAATTAATTATTATTCGAGTTGTTTATTATATTCATTTGGCGAATTATTCGTTATTTGTCAGTCGCTATTTTACGAAAAAACAAAAATATTTCGAAGATCGTGTCTATCCGAGGAAACGTTTAACGAACGTATTTCTCCGTTCGAAGAATGCTTGAAATGACCATTTAACGTTTTTGTACTGCATTCGCTTATATGCTTCAAAATGTAGACATTATCCTTTCATTCGAAAATCTTAACAAATAACGAATAAATTAAATTTACTTCTTGTTCGTGCGAACGACGAACAAATAGTCAATCTGATTCGTTATTCTGGATAACGTTTGACCAACACTGACTGAACGGTACAGTGTCGGCGCCGTTGGCGGAGGTCAGTGTCCGCGAGTTTTTGTAGCGGAGCACTTAAAAACGATTTTATTGTGGAACGGCGGCCGAAGAGGATGGTTTGTCAACAGCGCGGCATAATCGAGTGAACCGGAACGCTCGTAACGAGGGTCTGTCGAGCGGAAACGGAATTAAGGTCGCTTAACGCGAGTAGGGTCTTTGTAACCTAAAATCCGCAGGCAAAGTTTGGTGCCACTTGGCAGCAGTTGTCCCCGGATCGCGAAGGCCACCTAAGGTCTCGAGAGATCCTCCACCGGCTGCTAGTTCTTCTAAGTGTGCTTCAGCGTTGTTGTCACTGCGCCGTGGAATATGCGAAAGCGACACTCCTCTCGTGCCTGTCGCGTTCTCTCGTCCAACTCTTTAGCCCCACTCCCTCCACCCCCAGCCGAACTACTAGCCGAGGGTTCAGGCTGTTGCTGATGGAGGTGATCGATGGACTTCCTGAACTACTTTCGAGTCATGCTCGAACGACCGTCCGCGCCTTGTATTTATGGGGTCAAGCTGGATTTTCACAAACCCGCTTCTTCCGTGAGTTGTACCAGCACGCGGAAACTTCGGCTTTTCATTTATTTCAGATTTTATTTAGAATAAGAAAGTTCCCGGAAAAGGAAGAAAAATGATCGGCCTTCGAATTATCGTAACTGTCCGCACGCTGTATTTATGAAGCCGAGTTTCATTCTCATTGCCTTCTTCTTCTTGTCTAGAAATGACGATGCCTGGAAAGTTTCTTCTTCTTTTGTCGATTTAAAAGTTTATTAACGATAAGAGAATACTAAATATTCTCGTTAAATTTACTCGCTCTCGAATCATAGTTCAGCGATCGCGTGTGCACTGCATTTATGGGGTCAAGCTAGATTTTCATAGCCCCGTTGCTTCCAGAAACCAATGGCTTACGGGAGGATTTCGTTTTCATTTTCGTCAGATTTTGTTCGTAATAAGAGTGTGTCTGAAAACGTAAGCGAACTGACCTGGTTTCGAATCATGGTCGAATATGACGATCTATACAGAGTGTCCCAAAAATGTCTCGCAATCCGAAAGTTGGCGGGTTCCTCGGATCATTTGAAGCAGCTTCTTCCTTTACAAAAATGCTCTCCGAGGCGCCGTTAACGAGTTATTAACGGAAAACAGTGACCAATAAGAATCGAGTACGCCTGACGCGAGGCGGCCCAGCCAATCAGTGCGCGAAGCCCAGTTCCGCTCGTTGGCTCGGTCACCTCGCGCCAGCTGAGCTGGGATTCGACCGCCTCGACCGCTCGACCGCTGGCGCCGTTGGCTCGGCCGCCTCGCGCCTGCTGAACTGGGATTCGACCGCTCAACCGCTGGCCCCGTTGGCTCGGCCACCTCGCGGCAGCTGATCTCGCCTCTCATTGGTCACTGTTTTTCGTTAATAACTCGTTAACGGTGCCTCGGAAAAAATTTTTGTAAAGGAAAAAGTTGCTTCAAATGGCCTGAGGAATCCGCCACTTTCGGATTGCGAGATATTATTGGGTCACCCTGTATATACCATCGTGATCGTGATGTCAAGCTAGATTCCCATAGCCTCTTTTTGGAATTGATGGCCTTTTAGAAGATTCCACTTTCTCATTTATTCGGAAATACGTTAATTGGTAAATGCTAGCGAAAATTGAAAAATCTGATCTATTAAATAGTAGCAAAGGTTTGCATCGCTTTGACTTTTTTAATCTTCAATGTAAGTCTGCAGTGATCGAAGTTGCTATCGTAGAAGGGGATAAATTCAATCTTAAACTTAATTTTAGATTTAGCTATCGAATCGTCGGCAACGTGGAATTCGCGTTCTAAAATTTAACAAAAATGAACTAAATTTGAAGAATTTTGAATTAAGAAAGTTTTGAATTTAAACAAATGAATTAAGAAAATTTTGAATTCAAAAGATTTTTTCTATGTATACCTTTTCTAATCTATATAATTCACATCTGCATAACAAATAAAACTAGCCCGTGATTTCATACCGAAAAATCAAGAGCCCGTTAATGGATTAATACAACGAACTTCCTATTTGTTGGAACAGTACACGTTCACGAAGTTAGGCCCGAATTGGAACATGTGCAACAAGCAGCAGTTGTCGATTAAATGGAGTGGTGAATTATTTGTTCGCCAGTGTGGAGGCAACACGCGAAGAATGTTGTCCATCTGTTTGCACCGTTTGCCAACCACGAGGTCGTCTGCGTGCTGGCATTGAGCGGGACGACGCGACGACGGGACGAGTAAGATTTCCCTGCAGCGTGTGTAACTTGCTCATAAAAACGATAGCGTGGGGTGCTTGTTCAGGGAATAAGAACGATCGCTTGCGTACACATGCCCGAAGCGATTTTTCATTCACGTTGATTCATTAGTGGCGCGTTTCTTGGCATTGATTCCCGCTCGAATTCTTGGAAAATCGAGGGAGCGTTATATCTCGCTGATTTATAACACTTCGGAGTATATCGACTATGAACTGGCCGCAGTGTAAGAATATTACGTAGATCGTACAGCACGATATTAAGAATTTCATTCAGTGATACGAGGCACCGTTGAAAATTCGGAAAATTGTCTATCGTTTCGACGCCAATGCCGTCTAGCGACATTTTCTTGGATTTATAATGATTCAATTCGGATAACAATAAGCTGTAAATATTTATGTAATGAAAGTGATATGTTTCAACACTTGACACACGTTGCAATTACCACAATCGATAATTGTGGTAATTATCGATTTTAAGCTGTTTTCAACGTTCCTCATTTCAAGCCACGTTTTCCCTAAATGCTCTTTCACGCGACACTCACTAATTAGCATTAATTCACAAATAACACACACATACCTCGTTTCATTGATATTTACATTAGTACTTTCCAATATTTCTAAGATCCTAGTTATTAATAACTAGAGATTAATAACTTAATAGATATTAATAACTTAAGTTATTAATTATCAGTTATTAATAACTGAATAAAGATCCTAGTTATTAGTCAATACAATTAATAACTAGAGATTAATAATTTAATAGATATTAATAACTTAAGTTATTAATTATCAGTTATTAATAACTGAATAAAGATCCTAGTTATTAGTCAATACAATTAATAACTAGAGATTAATAATTTAATAGATATTAATAACTTAAGTTATTAATTATCAGTTATTAATAACTGAATAAAGATCCTAGTTATTAGTCAATACAATTAATAACTAGAGATTAATAATTTAATAGATATTAATAACTTAAGTTATTAATTATCAGTTATTAATAACTGAATAAAGATCCTAGTTATTAGTCAATACAATTAATAACTAGAGATTAATAATTTAATAGATATTAATAACTTAAGTTATTAATTATCAGTTATTAATAACTGAATAAAGATCCTAGTTATTAGTCAATAGAATTTGATGATTATGATCTTCAGAGTTTATTAAATATTTAATAGTTGTGCCTACTGCAAGCAAGGTTTTCAGTGAATTAACGATAAAGAACATTACTGAAAGACCAGTCGAATTCAGTTGTGTGAACTTTATTCCAGCAATTTAATTGTACGTTCTATTTTCTATGATTCCAGGCAGCGGGAACTTGGAGTTGTTCGATAGTGAGAGCGGGCCGGACCTCACACTATCACCTCAGACCTTTACGTCGACGGCAGAGGCCTTCATCAATGACAATAGCGATAGTCTTGGTGTTCCAGGAGACAACGATACGGGTGAGCGCTAGCTTAAAGTTCATCGAACAATTTCAAAATAAAAATTTATCCATTTTCTGCTTCTAGAAACTGCAAAAAACGTTGCGTTCTCCTGTATTTACATCGGAAATTGTATTTCTTTAAAAATTGAAACTGTAAATGGAACGCAACTGGTCGGTTTCATGGGTAAAACGAAAATGGACGAACTTTTATTCTAAGTTCTCTCACGAAGCTTCGTTGAAATTTTAACGTAAAAGTTTCCCAGTAACGAATTCTGCAAACAGATTTTTATTAACCACAGGCGAACCTGCAATTTTGATTGCGATGGAAAGGATTTATTATTTTATTGCGAACAATAGTGCTTTAGACATTCAAAATCCCTCCGACGCGCTATAGTGTCGCGTCGAAGAAAAGATCTTATATTGTGCCGCGCAGTAACCGTTGGTGGGATAATATGAAATCTTGAGAAATCGAGGCCGAAGTAAGCCCTTGAAATATTTCTTCCTTTGGACGTGGAAATATAAAATAATAATCTTCTAGCAGCGAGTAGAATGAAACGGCGTGAAACGCGGACCGATCGTGCAGACCAGTTTAAGTGGAATATGATCGCGCGAATCAGACGTTGCCAAATTGACGTACCTACCATTCTATAATTCTTGCAATTTTTCCAAGTAACTATAATCCATTCTAGTTTACATTCTAGTAACTATAATCCATTTAGTTAACACCGAACATTATCCTATCAACAAATATCATATTTTCATAAAAATAGATGAACGGAAAATTTGATTTATGTATATTTATTAATTGAACGCCAGAATTACAGCATTTCCGTTTAGAAATTCAACCAATAACCTCACTTTTCCCGTGATTTATTAACTGTTAAATTAAAATGTAAATTCTCGTTGACGAAACACTGTTGTAACATTAATCCTACCGTCTAGATCATTTATATTATAATTATTCAAACTGTGAGCATGCTTCCATAGAAAGCGACTAAATAAAATTAATTCGGGCACATGTTTTAACAAAATTCGCCGTAGAGATTTTTATTTTAATTCTGTCTTGCCACTTTTATCAGGCAACACATCCCAGTCGTTTTAATAAATTAATATTGTTTACTCTTTAACGGGACGAACCCTTTGTTCTACGATATAAAACACTAGCGAATAATAGTATATAATAATAATTGTAAGAACAATAATGGTAGTAGTAAGAGTGGCCAGTAATGACAGTAAGACAAGAATTAAGGATGCTTGCCTCCTTAATCGAATTGTCCTAACATTTCTGATCATCCAAAAAATGGAGAACCCATGAAAAATTAATAAGATTACTCTTAAATAAGTGAAATAAATGGAATTGCATTTAGAATTCTACGAAGTACATAGAATATTCTAGCTTTGCTTAAAAGGCGAACGACACGTGACGTCCCAAATACTCAAAAATATCCTGAAAGGTGGCAAATTAGTAGATAGAACGTTTTAACTAAGAACGGTGGAATAGTGATGGCAAAGCGTTCGAACGAGCTAAATGAATTACAATTACATTTTTGCCATTTGGGAAATGTGTCAAACACATGTGTGTGTGTGTGTGCGTGTGTGAAAACACTTGTCGAAACACTTCGCGCAACGTTTGTCGATGGAAACGTCGTCCTGCCGGAACAACGAGCAATCTTTTCTGTGACACTAGTAAACAACGAGAGACAATCGCGTTGTTCAAACGGCAAAGGGACCGTTTATCCCGTCGCTTTCGATCGGTGGAAATCGGCCCCGAACAAATCAGATATCAGCGCTCGCCTCTCGATGGGCGTGCGACTACGGGACTCGCGGCGTTTTAATTAACTCCTAACCCGATTTTAATTCGATTGAGCGAAAGCACGGAGGACGTCGATCGTTTCGTGCCGTGACGCAAAGGAAGCCCGGGGGGAGGGAGGGGGGACAATGCATTAGCGTAATTGTTGCGCAGCTCGTCAACAGGCGCAGTTGAACACAGAGTTACAACTAGTTCGAACATGTCGACCAAAGCCGTTTCCGTACGTGCGCTTCGGTATACATATAATACCCATTGTTCCCGACGAGTATAAGGGGAGACCGTGCCGCTTGTACACCGGCTATAAAATGTCCGTATTGTTTCCTGGAGACGCGTTTGTACGGTAATCAAGTCGCCTCCCCCGGAATGGAGTCCCTACAACTTGATGCTTCAATCGGAATTCGAACAGCTTGACTCCTGCGCGTTCGTCGAACGCTCATTTGTTCAACGCTCAACGTTCATTCGCTTCGAAATAGCACACGGAGATCGGTCGAAAACCAACGTATACTTTGCGACAGTTCTCAGTTTTTTATTCGGATTGTTTTAAATATTTGTCTACAATAGTTATCCGAATGAATTCCTTTTTAGTCGAATATTTTATTCGAACAATTCATTATTCGTCATGAATTATTTGGTCTATTTGTTCGAATAATGCGAAAAAGAAATATAAAAGAAATGGAAACAGTTTATATTCTATCATTTTTATACGAATGATTTATTTTCTATACGAATAAATTCGTATTCGAATGAAATCTTATTCGGATGAATTCTTATTCGGATGAATTCTTATTTGAATAACATTTTATTCGAATAGATTTGGTCGAATGAAAATTCAGTTTCATTCTTACAACATTCCAAATAACTCGAAGATAATGTATCGACGTCGTTAAAATCCTTGGCGTCCATTGTTTTGTATTTCAACTGCTCGCTTTTGTCGTACGTAGAAATTATTCGTGCAGAATAAAAGTTATCTGCATTGCCTGGTAGACAAAAGGAGCTTGACAAACATTTATCTCCTTTCTTAATTATTTACGCGAGTTGAATATAATAAAATGGTATCTTCGAATTCTTTAAATTTCTTCACCGTTTCGGTACTTGATCTACTCGTTCTTATCATAAATGCATAAAATCCGCAGTGCAATCGTAGATGCATAATTACTCCACGGTCCAAAGAAAAGAAAACATGAACGGTTGTTCGACTGTCATTAATTTTTCTGCAAAATATTGGGTTGACAACTAAGTAATCGCCGATTTGTTCAATGAAATAAAAAATATTTTTTGCTTGGAACGAAGTTTAATCTGTAATGTATTTTCCATTTTGTTCGATGACCTTTTGCCATTTCTCCGACAACTTGAAAATTCCACGCTCGTAGAAAGTCTGATCCTTTTCGGCCAAAAACTGAGTTAAGTGAGATTTTACAGCGTCATCATCGTTAAAAGTTATACCGCGAAGGGAGTTGTCCAGGGATCGAAATAAGTGGTAATCCGATGGCGCGAGATCAGGGCTATATGGTGGGTGTAACATCAATTCCCAACCAATATTCATCAATTTTTGTCGAGTGAACAAAGACGTGTGCGGCCTAGCATTGTCCTGCTGGAAAATGACACCTTTACGATCGACCAATTCTGGTCGCTTTTCCTTGACCGCTGCATTCGATTTGTCCAGTTGCTAACATTCACGGATAATAAAAAATAACATAATAATAATAATAATAATAACAATTTTATAATATAACATTTACGGATATCTTAAAAATGGGAGTGAGAGACATCTATAACTGAAATTANATATAAAAGAAATGGAAACAGTTTATATTCTATCATTTTTATACGAATGATTTATTTTCTATACGAATAAATTCGTATTCGAATGAAATCTTATTCGGATGAATTCTTATTCGGATGAATTCTTATTTGAATAACATTTTATTCGAATAGATTTGGTCGAATGAAAATTCAGTTTCATTCTTACAACATTCCAAATAACTCGAAGATAATGTATCGACGTCGTTAAAATCCTTGGCGTCCATTGTTTTGTATTTCAACTGCTCGCTTTTGTCGTACGTAGAAATTATTCGTGCAGAATAAAAGTTATCTGCATTGCCTGGTAGACAAAAGGAGCTTGACAAACATTTATCTCCTTTCTTAATTATTTACGCGAGTTGAATATAATAAAATGGTATCTTCGAATTCTTTAAATTTCTTCACCGTTTCGGTACTTGATCTACTCGTTCTTATCATAAATGCATAAAATCCGCAGTGCAATCGTAGATGCATAATTACTCCACGGTCCAAAGAAAAGAAAACATGAACGGTTGTTCGACTGTCATTAATTTTTCTGCAAAATATTGGGTTGACAACTAAGTAATCGCCGATTTGTTCAATGAAATAAAAAATATTTTTTGCTTGGAACGAAGTTTAATCTGTAATGTATTTTCCATTTTGTTCGATGACCTTTTGCCATTTCTCCGACAACTTGAAAATTCCACGCTCGTAGAAAGTCTGATCCTTTTCGGCCAAAAACTGAGTTAAGTGAGATTTTACAGCGTCATCATCGTTAAAAGTTATACCGCGAAGGGAGTTGTCCAGGGATCGAAATAAGTGGTAATCCGATGGCGCGAGATCAGGGCTATATGGTGGGTGTAACATCAATTCCCAACCAATATTCATCAATTTTTGTCGAGTGAACAAAGACGTGTGCGGCCTAGCATTGTCCTGCTGGAAAATGACACCTTTACGATCGACCAATTCTGGTCGCTTTTCCTTGACCGCTGCATTCGATTTGTCCAGTTGCTAACATTCACGGATAATAAAAAATAACATAATAATAATAATAATAATAACAATTTTATAATATAACATTTACGGATATCTTAAAAATGGGAGTGAGAGACATCTATAACTGAAATTAGCAATTACTTAGTTGCCAACCCAATTAAATGATCACGTTGAACGTGTCGCAGTCTCACCACGATTTCAAGAAAAGCAAATTTCAAGCGTGAAAGATTGAATACGAGTGTCATCGTATATACGTACGATTTTGCATACAGTAATTCATCCGCTACCTAAATTACCCAATCCCGCTGTTTGTCGAGACCATCGCATCGGCCCGGTTCTCATGCTTTGACGCGTGATTCATGGTAGCCGTGAACAAACGGGTGGTCTGGCCGAAAAAAATATCGGGTTTCAAGTGGCGAGCCAACAGCCGCGTG